ACACTACACCATCAGGACTGACACTGCACCATCGGGACTGACACTGCACCATCAGGACTGACACTGCACCATCAGGACTGGCACTACACCATCAGGACTGGCACTGCACCATCGGGACTGGCACTACACCATCAGGACTGGCACTGCACCATCAGGACTGACACTGCACCATCAGGACTGGCACTGCACCATCAGGACTGACACTGCACCATCAGGACTGGCACTGCACCATCAGGACTGACACTGCACCATCAGGACTGACACTACACCATCAGGACTGGCACTGCACCATCGGGGCACCCTAAGCAGCATCCTCATGCCATCATTATAAGCGACCTGAAGTTTATTCACACTGCTTTTCCTGTAACGCCGCCACAGGTGGGCTGTATACAGTGGAGTACAGTATGCTTTAAAAAGTACAATGTTGACAGGTGTTGAACACATGGAGAACTTCCGAAGGAGAATATTAGCTTGTACATATTGAGTACAACGCTGCCTGTAAATGTCTCTGTCATCAGACAGGTCAGCGGTGATGTAATGTCCCAAATATTTGACCTCATCCGTGACCTGGAGGATGCTGCCRGACAGAGTGAAGTCAGGAAAAGATAATTTAGTGTCCTCTTTGCTCTTAACAATGATGATGTTGCTCTTTTTTASATTGTATTTAATGTCATGCTGTAACCCATACTGAGAGCAAACCCTTAACAGTTGCTGCAGACCAGCACTATATGGACAGAATATCACAAGATCGTCAGCATACATCAGGTGGTTGATGGTTCGATTACCAACCCGACAGCCAGTTCTRCATTGATTCAGCAGCTTAGATAAATCATCCATATACAGGTTAAAAAGGCAAGGAGATAAAATACTGCCTTGTCGCACACCATTACCCACATAAACAGATGATACAGAGTTTCCCCATTTTACAGACATATTCTGGTGAGCATACCAATACACTAAGATTCTTAATAAATATTTCACAACTCCTCTCTCATGCAAATTATAAAACAATTTGTCATGATTAACATGATCAAATGCTTTTGATGCATCTATAAAACACATAAAATTGTGGTATTTTGTCTCTTGTATAAATCTAAAATTTCCTTGAGAGCAAAAATGCACATGGTGCCAAGTTTAGGTTTAAAACCAAACTGATTATCAGATGTCGCTATAAACGTCTCAGTTCTGCTCAACAGTCTTCTCCAAAACCTTCAATAAGGTACTGACCAGAGCGATGGGCCCATAGTTGTCTACAGTGAAGACAACTAGTGAAGTATCCAGATGTTTTATTCAGTTAAGAGTAGTGATACTTAATAGTAATACTGTATTACTCAAGTAAAAGTAAAAATATGATCTAATGAAAAGTACCTTTTCCCCTAAAAGTTACTTAAAATGTAATTTAAGTTAAAAAAATCAGATGCTATGAGCTTTAAGACACTAAGACAACAATCAGTGATGAATTTGACTCTTAAGATTTGATTTAAAACTTTGTTCTTTGTCATTTTGTGTAATAAAACTACAGATTTATAGATTTATATAAACCATTCTGTCTCATATTATTACAGGAGTGCAGACACTTATTGTTTCCACTGAACGCAGTGATAAAACCCGTCCACAGAAACACATCGACAGCAGGGCTGTGAAACTGTGTCACTGAGGGCCACATGGTCCTCATGGTGACCCTCAAACAAAAACTGAGCTCTACCTGGTATTTCCTGCACAGAAACAGTGTTTGAACACATCCTCTTCTAAACCCTGACAAATACTGTGTACAACTGACTGAACGTGAAATAAAAACTACAGAAATACTTTTAAAGGTAAAGTAAGATTTACTACTGTGGAGCTGTGTGTAGCTGCCATCTTGAATTCTGAATTTCTAACTGGGAGTTCTTATAAAAAAGAACAGAGTTGCATGAAGGAAGATGTAGTTTATGTTTACAGTTTGACACATGATCTACAGTAAACAACATGTTTGTTGTTTGTCTGAACTTTGATTCACTTGAACATTCAGACTGAAAACTAAATGAACTTAACTTGGTCATCCTTTGGTAGAAGGCGACCTGTGACCTGCTTCACTGGTGCCCTCCTGTGAGACTTGGTTGATGTCCCCCAGTCCTGGATGACCCTCCGACTGGTCAACATGTCAGTGTCATGTTGACCAGAGCCTGCTCTGCCAGGAGATGTTTGTGTTTTACAAACGTTTGCATCTCGTTGTGTTCGTGTTCTGAGTTCATCCAAAACCTTGAAGCATCAACCAAAGATTTCTGACTGGAAACAAAGTTTCTGGTTTGTGTTTGTTTTAAATTTATATTTTATTTTTTCCTATAAACTACCGGATTTAAAATGGCGGACTGTGGGGAAAAAAACAAAAACACTAGTCTGGGAAAAACATTTGACCTGATATTATTTATTAAAGCCAAAAATGATGAAAAATATGTAAAAACAAAATTTTGATTCATTTGCTTGTAGAACTTTTTATAGCAGCGAAAACAATTATATGACCCTGTTAATCTGTAAAACACTGTTTTTGTTTATTATTATT